AAGATATTGTTGGAGCCATAATGTACTTTTTGTTTATTTTTTATGTTTATATCACAGGTGACCATTTGCATTGTTGTATGTAGTTTTCTGTTTAAACACTGGGTGGAGCATTAGCTCAGAAAAGGCATATAGGTAAGCCGCAAGTGATGAGCAGCAGGTGTGGAAGGGGGAAGCATACAGTTTTTGACCGTGTCAGTATCAGCGTGGCGGCATCTCAACAAACAAATTGATGAATGAAACTTACCTGTGTTTATAGTTAATTTAATGATGGAAAACTTACCTGTGGATTTACTTGTGTTTTACCTGTGCTAAGGTGAGCATAAAAAGAGGGCAAATAAATGGGTCACCGCACTCAAAGACAACTCAGTATTGGACATTGGTTTATTGTTTTTGCCCAGAACATGCGTCCAAAAAAGTTCTCCCCGTTCGCCCCTCAAGGACTCATAAATGTATTCGTTTTTATTGGAAAGACTCTACAGATATATATTTGCTGAATATATCTAATATCTAGTAAAGCCGAACTAGTAATGACACTGCACCTAGATGAACTATGTTAAAAGTTAAAGCAACCCTTACCTTTCTGGAAATTCTACGATTTTCTTTGTTTAGGTTAAAATGCTATTAATAAGCTGATGGCACACTAAAATGTAAGTGAATTCCACCAGATATGAAAACTCGTAATTATATCATTCACATATGGTTCTAAGAAAACTCCGACCAATCACTGCATTCGGACTGAATGCAATGATTGGTCGGAGTTTTCTCCTGTCCTGTCCCACGTGGAGGCCTCTGACAGACGTAACCGCTCGTGTAACATCCCCCCCACAACCTCCACCCCTGAGTCTGTGACAACAAATATGCTAGAAACAGGGAGACTTGTGGATATAAACTAGTAACCTGAGATGACCGTGGTTTCGCCTGGAGCTGTCCCGACAGGGAGACACTGGCAGCGCTGTGACAGGACGCGGGAGCAGGGGAAGCGCGGAGGGGTTAGCTAGGCTAAGAGCTAACCCCATCAAACCAGCTGTTCCCAGTGTCCCTCTGGCGAATGTCCACTCACTGGACATGAAAATGGATTACATCTGACTATGGAGATCCACTCACCGAGGAGTGAGGGACTGCTGCGTCCTTGTGTTCACTGAGACATGGATGAATGTAACATATCAGACTCTGGTGTTGAGCTAACGGGCTAACACTACACAGAGCGGACAGGACGGCACTATATGTTTTTTCTTATATGTTGCACTAATATTGTTTTTAAATGTTTTGTTGCATGCCAGTTGCTAATGGCTAACGTTAGCCTACTGTAGCGTAGCCTCTGAAACCTTAACGTTATCTTCCTTGTGCGTTTCCACTCACTAGTAATGTTAACGCTACTATCTAACGTTAGCACTGTGACCTTATTCTAAAACTCATCAGTCATCACTGACTCCGGTTGAGTTTTAAAACTCCGGGGTTGCATTTGTAACGTTGCACTCGCTCTCCTCTTCCGTGTATCTAACGTTACCTTGCCAACGCCTACGTCTATCATAGACATAATGAGGACGTAATGGAGGGAGGTGGAGTTGTGGATGGTCAAATTCTTTCTAAGTGCTGTGTGAAATGCAAGAAAGGTAAGAGTTGCTTTAAGATGATGGTTAATTTCAGATATTTTAGCAAGTTCTCTAGAAACACAGTTTTTGGGACTGTGATTGTTCCGGTTGTAGAGTTGTCAAATAGTGTCATAAAAAAGTAAATCTAGTGAATATATCAAAGATCTAGTACAGCTGAACTATCATGTTATTATTATTATTGTTATTATTGGTGGTAAATTATAACAGAGGAATATATTTGCCATTTTAATATCAAGAACACTTTGGTGTTTTTGTGTGTATACAGGACGCTGTTGAATCAGGGAATTCATGTGTCCACCACGACAAAGGATCCTAAGTGACTAACGTTAGCGTTAGTGACGAGTGGAGCTACAAATGCTCTATGCAGATTGTTACAGTGTGTTACAGGGCGCACAAGAGAGCATTCATCATTTATTATTATTATTATTATTATTATGTTTTAATCACTATACCACAGAAGACTCTTCACTTGACATCACTGTCTCCAGTGTCTGTCTTTTACCAACCTGGCAACCTGTAGAACTGAAGAGTGGAGCGAGAGGGAGTATGACACCTACTGACCAGGAGGTATGAATCCTATAGGCTATCTACCACCTTTAAAAGATGGGGACATGTGGGGGCTCGCTCTGTCATCATGGCTTAAGAGTAACTCTGCTGACACCTGGTGGTTTAAAACAGACTCACATTCTGTGAAGCAACGTGACTTCCTGGAAATGAGCATTATATAATCCTCTCATCATTCAGTAACTTTTGCTCACTGGTGTGTTGGATTTAAAGTCCTCAGAGATGGGGGACGTGGGTTATCGAATATGTAGGCTATTCAGTCATAGGATAAACGTTTGCTCAGTGTACATTTTAACTGACGTCATTATTTTTATCTGAGCCTGTTTTTAAAAACAAGTAATTTCACTTGAGTTGAGTGCTGTGTGCGAGTACTTTGCACTCTTCATGTTATTGTGGCCACCTTCTGTGGCCTTTATTACCACATTCTCCTGGTGTTCGTTTTGTTGTTCAGGTAAGCCTCTGAATAGTCAAATGTCGTACACCACCTGAAAGCAGCACCAACTTCCCGTAAATCAGCTTGCTTCTGTTTAGGCCAGCCCTGCCTCCCTCCCTGCAGCCACACAGTGTGGGTGGGGCGGCTACACTCACATATTCAAGGCAGTTGAGGAAATACGACATTTCGGCAGTTGGATCTACTGCACGCGGAGCTTCGCAGCCATGGTCGCAGCACTGTTTGTCGTGTTCGCACATTTCTGGATAATTTCCCTGTGCCACAGTAAGCCGTGTGTGTGTGTGTGTGTGTGTGTGTGTGTGTGTGTGTGTGTGTGTGTGTGCGTGTGTGTGTGTGTGTGTGTGTGTGCATGTGTGTGTGTGTGTGTGTGTGTGTGTGTGTGTGCGTGCGTGTGTGTGTGTGTGTGTGTGTGTGTGTGTGCGCGTGCGTGTGTGTGTACGCGCGCGTGCGTGCGTGTGTGCGCGTGAGAGTAATATTTTAGTTCAGAAGTGCTGCATTAAGAAGATGTTATTTCGCAACATGTCAGTGTAAATAATAACGTAATAATGACGCAACGGCCACTGTGTGTACAAGCCCTGTCCAAATACCCACACTTGCGCCCTGAGGTCTTTCCTGAAGTGCACTCACCTGAAGTGAGATCTGATGCGCACTTTCGGAAGGGGTGTATTAAGGGCGCAGGTTTGCACCCCCTGGTAACAACTGAAGACAATTGAGACACCCTCCGCACTTGCGCCCCTTAGCGGGAGCGCGCAATTAAGGGGCACAAGGGCGCAAGTGCGGGTATTTGGACATGGTGGCGTGTTCAGATGCGGAGGGTTGTTTTCCTGTTTGTTACGTTTGTACGGTTGTCGGCCAGCAACTTAACATACAGCAGGGACGATTGATGGCTCACCAGACCTGGTGTATACGGTCAGTAGACGGACACAGACACAAACACTTGAAGGAATCATGGTGTTCATGTGTTTCTTTTAATTACAGCAGTCAATATGAACAATTATTTGAACTGAATATCGGAACATCTCTTCTTCACCACCTTGGGAGATAATTTTGTCTGCTTTTCATGTGGTTGGGGAAATACTGGAAACATTGTTATCCATGCTATTGGCTCATTTGGCACCTATACCCTGTCTGCATCATGGGAACACTAAACTGCGCTGGTGTGTCAGTAATTTCACCTTATCAGTAATAGTACAGAGCAAGCTGTGCCCTTATCAAGTACTTAGTAATGTATGACAATTAGTAATTTATGTAATGCATTTAAATGTATTATGGTCAATAATTCATCGTTTCAAACTAATAAGTTTCTTGACTCTTTGTGAGGTACTGTATGAACAAAGGTGTCTTTATCCTGGAGTCAGTGCTTAAGTGATGACTCTCAAAGTGTTCACTGCACAGATGGGAAGTCTTGTTTGGAGTCCAGTTCTGTCTCCTCGTGTTGAGTGTCCA